CAGTTCAGTTGTCACACAGTTTGCCATTAAATTTCAACTGCTTAGAAAAGGTTGAGGGTTGAAAGGAAAGACCCATGCAGAAATATAACTTCTACAGCAAGAGAGGTGAATTTGTCATGTCAAAGAATATAATTATGCCTATTCGTTGACTGACTTGCTTTGTGAAATATATTGCATGTTTTCTCAGTTTAACGGCTCATCTGTCCAAACACATAAAGTGTTAAGTATTTACAAAGTACCGCAATTACAAATAACAAGCATTTTAAAAATGCAGCATTAAAAATCATGCTAATATATCAACAGCACAGACCCATTTGCAGGTTGAATAAAAACCATATCAAGACTATGAGAAACTAGAAAGTGAATGAAAGAGAACTTTTTGTTTGCTCCCTTCCCCCCCCCCCAAAAAAAGCATAAGAAAGAAGCGATAAATAAAGAGATAGGAAAGTTTTGCCTTCTAGTTATATTTTCTACTGGCACTGCCCCCTGCAATTCCTTGGAGAGGTTTCTCAGAAGTGTATTGCCGGCTGAGAGTGATTGGCCCAAAGTCACCCAGTTGGTTTCATGCCAAAGATGAAATTAGAGCTCACGGTCTCCTGGTTTCTAGGATGGCATCTTCCCCATTACACCAAACTAGCTTTAGATAGAGCTATTTAGCCAATGTGTCTATTGGCAATTCTCAATCATCCAGATCGTGGTTGTTCCAAAGGTGCTTTTTCAAAAGGCAACTGGACTTTCTTGGTTTTTTCCCTTGAAAACATTTCGCTTCTCAACCAATGAACTGAAGAAATTTATTGGATGAGAAGCAAAACATTTTCAAGGGGAAAAAACACCCAAGAAAGTCCAATTGCCTTTTGGAAAAGCACCTTTGGGATATTTAGCTGATACAAAAGACAATATATTGAATCATTTGGTCTCTGTCTTTCTGGATCTATATCTAAAAAGCAGCACAATAAAATAGCTCAAACATTGATTTAGAGCCATCGCAGCTTGTGTAACTTTGAAAGAAACTGCTCAGCCCCACTTAATAATCGGGCTTTTCAATCTTCTGTTTCCCAAACCTTTATATAGCACATTTAAATGAATTCCTCCTTATTTTGGGTTGCCCTATGTTTTACAGATCTATGTTAATATTCTTCACGCTGTCATCAGGGTCCAGCCTACATTGGCAAGTCTGACCTTGAAGAGAGTTATCAGTCAAAAAGATTTCACCCAAACAGCCTTTAAGCAGGTCAATAACCAACCAAGTTTTTCCTGTCCATTCACAGAATGGGTTCAGGAATAAGAAAAACATCATTAGTTTTCATTTTATTCTTATCAAATTTAGAAACTGCCCATCTGATTGCCCTCCAGTGACTCTAGGCAGTATAGTTTTCTCATCTCCATCTCTCTGATATATAATGTTTATCTACATGTGTTTGATGAATCACAATAAATAATTATCTTTTTGGAGATTGCTCTATGAAAAGAGAAAGTGAAGGAAGACTACCTTTAAAAAAATTAGGACATAAACTAAAGTGAATGTTCCAGATGCAACAACTTCTTGTGGCACTTTTACTTAATTATATATGTATATGTTTGTATGTATAAATTAGTACAAGGCTTGAGTGAAAAATAATGCTTCCAGTGTTGTAAGTTGTTACAAATGGTAATACTCACGTACTAGGAACTCTGTGGTGTTCCTTAACAGCTGTTCTTTCACTTCACTTGGTAGGAAATGATATTGAAAAACGGCTGTGCTGCTATTGTTTGTGAAATGAAAGCCTGCAGGTAGAACTCATCAATGCACTTCAAGCAATGTGCAATGTTTTGAATTTTTAACTGATCAAAATATTCACTACTGAATGTAGTTTGTGTATAATATGAGTATGAATGCTGTTTGATGCTCGGCCAAAAGATGTCAAGAAGGTGAAATGGGAAGAACTGATTTCTGTGACCAAGAACAAAATAGATAACTTGTGATAGCAACCAACTTTCACAAGAGAAAGGTTGATAGCCTGATGAAGGACAATCAGCAGATCTCTCAAAGGGAAAATTGTGGAAAGTTTAGTATCCTACAGGAGTGTGTTGGTGATATTATAATGTTCTTTGATACTGGAAGATTTGAGAAAGATAGGTCATGGAGGCAAATTTGCCAGTAGCTGTTGTCATGCACTGAGAATGAAATTAAAGAGTGTCCCAACAGCATCATGGCAGCTGACAAAACAAGAGCTTAACATTATGGTCTAGAAATAAAATGTCAGTTCATAGAATATTGTCATAAACTTCCCTTCAATCAATCAATAATTTAGGCTCCAGGAAAAGAAAAATCATGATTGTAGATATTTTTTTAAAAGATGCAATGCTGTTATTCAAGTGGATGTCCTTGAACCTAGCACCACTATCAAATCAGATAACACTCAAACTTCAAAACAATGACTAAGCAGAATTCAGAGTGCAAGAAGGAAATTTTGCTGCACTATGACAGTGCTAGGCCTCACAAGCCACCCAAGAGACAAATGCAAATCTGGATCTTATTTTATCTTATCTTATCTTATCTTATCTTATCTTATCTTATCTTATCTTATCTTATCTTATCTTATCTGACTCAAATGAAGAAATGGAAAATACTCTCAGACCTTAATAGAAGAGACAAAAGTTTGGAATTCTTGTATTATGACTTTAAAAAGTTGCCTGTGGTTGGTTGACTGAAAGTGACAATTATGTAGAAAAAGTAAACACAGGTAACAAAACAGCTCATTTCAATTACTATTTAAATATCCCTATCTAAACTAAAGTTATGGAGGTAAAAGCATTACTTTTTATTCATCTTAATATGTATATGTTCACATACACATGCATCTATTTAATCACACCTCAAAGGGATTTATAAATTTAGGATTTACATCAGGTTTATAGTTATGTTTAACACTGTCACAACCCTTATTAGATCTTGAAACTTATAGCCTCAAGGGATCTACTCTGAGAAATGTACTCACTTAAATCTTTAGTACCAAAGCATCAGAGCATTGGAAGGAATCCCTGGGTGATCTTCTGACACCCCTCTTTACCTTGGCCATATTTCACTACAATAATCTCAGACTCTCTTCTGAACCTACCACATCTTTCTGATCATTTCCATTGCAATAATGTGTTGTAATGAAAAGTTCATTCATTTGCTAATTTAATGCTAGTGCAACTATGAAATTGACCACTAGGGAAGAATCCTGGGTGAGAGCTTTCTTTGCAATCAATAAACAAGCTGCATCATATTTTTCAATTTGTTGTCATCCAGAATGTTATTACTTTTAACTCACCTGAGCTTGTCTTTCCCATTTTTCCTATATGTGTCCAGAATGTTCATTTCCAATCTAATAAATTTCTTGTGCATTGTTTACTTGAATGGCACTTTGGGAGTTTATCTATATACAGTATTTAATTTAATTTAATTTATCGAATTTCTATGTAGTTTCAAATAATCTTTTGCAGAAAATAAATCATTACTACTATCTTTGGGTTTGGTTCTTGCCTTTCCAGGTTATAGACTTGAAACTTAAGTCTGATATATTGCAAGAATTTTCTATACATTAATAATTTTTAGCATAATCTTCATGGAATATATATATATATGATATTAAAACCAGAAGAGATAATTTTGGACTTGCTCTTTTTTGGTTTTCATCCCAAATTTTGAATTTCTTTTCTTCCATTCAATCATGTCTGATTCTCAGAGACTACCTGAATGAGTCCCTGCAGTTTTCTTGGTGGTGTTTTTCAGAAGAGGTTTGCCATTGTCTACTTTCTAGGGCTAAGAAAAAGTGACTGGTCCATGGTCACACAGTTGGCTTTGTGGCTAAGGCGGGACTAGAACTCCCAGTCTCCCAGTTTCTAGCCTCATACCTTAACCACTATACCAAACAGGATCTCATATAAGCTACTTCTAACTCATTTCTTCTCCATGCATCACTTCTTTTCATATCGGTCTAAAGACATTTATGTCCTAGCTATACTTTAGTTATGTGTTGTGACATATCCTTTACTCAGTCTTGTTACATTTTCATATGATTCCATTATATGGTTCAGTGAATTTTGTTTGTTTTGTAGACTTGAAGGATTATAAATTAAATATTAAAGTCAGCATCTTTAGCAAGGCTGCCATATAATTTGGCTTCATTACAGATTTAGATTTAATTCAGATTTATAAGGCTTTTCTGAACATTCAATAACACTCAACATTTGGCCTCACATGTACCTTCTGCCATTGTCTTTGTGGGTGGCCTTCAATTATTAGTAGGCCTTTCATTTTATGACCTAATTGTGAGTAATGTATTCCATTGGTTTCAAGTAATCAAACTGCAATTAAGTTTAGTTCATTTTGACATCTCTCTCAACAGATGTGGGCCATCATTTGAAAAAGTGAGAATCACTATTATTTCACAAGGTTGTCATGGTATAATACAAACGAATCACATTGTTCATTAAACCTGTTGTACAAATTAATGAAGAGGAGGATTCCCACAATTCCTTAATATGATGAAATTCTTAATTTTCCTATTAAATGCATCCTTTTCGTTCTACTATATAGTGCTCATTCTCTTGTGTTGTATTGGTTGCTATGGTTACCAGCTATAGCACCATTCTAGTGACTTTTGTCGACTGTCACTTTAATTATATTTTTCAAGCTTATTTTTGCCCCTTTGTGACATTTTCATGACTGCCAGGCACCCAGCATGGCAACTGGTACACTTCCAATGAACTGAGTATATTTTAGCAGTGTGACATTCATTGACTTTAATGGGAAACTGAAGGCTAAAATGCTCCTTTGATGGGCAACGTAAATGTTAGAATCTACATTAACAATAAACCAGCAAGACATATACTTGTTAAATATATTCTTTATAAGCAATCATTTCAACATCTACTCTTTGAAACTACAAGGGTAATTCTTTTCTTCTACACATATCAAGTAACATCTCTGCTATGCACGGGAGAGCTACAGAAAACTAGAAAATTAAACTCACCTTGTTATTCTGGAAACAGAAAATGCCCTTGAATTTGACACATGACAGAAAAGTTGCTTCTTGTCTTTAAAAATTTACCTGGCTCATTCAGGTCTTTTCTATCTATTGTTTGATATGACCTCAAAATAAATCATTTATTCAGAAATACATATCCATGTGTACTTATGCAAATTTAGACTGATCATAAACAAGCTCCTCACCATAAGTATTGAGGCAGATTACAAAATGAAACCAAATAAAAAATATTTACCAGTTTTAAGACAAAACTGCTTGTTTTGAAATTGATTTGTAAAAGCTGGGATCTAAAAGGCTAAGCCTATATTTCTTTTTGCTGGAAATATCTTGTTGTGTCTGCAGAGCTGCCGAGTGGAGCAAGGAACGTGCCAACACAGAAGCGTTCTGATTGGTTGGTCCATAACTCCCTCCAGCAGGAAATCGAGGCGCGCCTATTGGCTATGGTGTTTTTACAGCTCAGTATATAAGACCTATCAACTTGTTCGCGTGTTGCTGTTGTTCTGTTCTGGGTTGCCTCGTTAAGGTTAGAACGTAATAAACTAATAAATGGTTAACTGTTAGCAATCCGTTTCGCCTCATTAATTCCGACCCACGTCAGTATTTAAAATATCGAACCCAGGGGTGTCAAACTCAAGGCCCAGGGGTCTGATCCGGGCCACAGGGTGCTTAGATCTGGCCCTCAGGGCTGCCCCGGAAACAGTGAAGAACTGGCCCGTGGTGCCTCTGCCAGTGAAAACGGAGCTTGGGAGTCCACTTTCTCTGGCAGAGCGCTTGGGCCACCATAGGCACCTCCAACACAAGTGATGTCGAGCTGGCCCCGCCCACCATGGCCACGCCCACTCCACTCCCGAGGTTAAACACAACCCTGATGTAGCCTTCAATGAAATCGAGTTTGATACCCCTGATCTAACCTATCCATTCAAAACAAGCATGATTTACTTAAAATTTATATTTGCAGATTAAGTTTTAGAAAAGGGTACCATAACTAAAATTGAAGCCCAACATAGCTCACTGTGGTGTGGAAGACAATGACCAGTGATCTTTGTGTTTGTTCAGTCAGCTGTCCAAGAGGAAAACTTTGGACGGGTGTTTTTTTTATCCTTCCTTCTTAAGTCTTCTCATCTTGAAATTGGATTTGGACTAAAACCTCTGTATGGACTTTATCCTTTCAGTAGTTCTGACCTTAAACAGGACTGCAATGAAATGTCCCTTCAAACAGTTGACATTTCTGGAATCCAACTGGAACATAGGATACATAGCCATCCTATGCTTCTCAGGTCTTTTCTCTTCTTCTGTTCTTTGCCAGGATACCCTAAGCAGCAGGTGAAGGGCCTCAGTTTGGAAGTTGAAATGACCAAAATCATAGATATCTGGAGAAATCCTTTTGTCTCACATAGGACTTTTTAGATTTCCAGTCTTTTGTTGCACCACAGCAAAAGGAGGTCACTAATTTTGGGGATTCAAAGCCAACGGACCCATGCCTGAGGTACAAGCTGAAAGGATTTGTTGAACAAAGCAAACTAGCAAAACTAAAGAACACCACCTTACAATACAGACCGAAAATTATTCACATATGAGGAAACAAAACAAGAAATTCAGTACAGACCAAGAGACATTCCTCCACTACTGGGAACCTTGCTCTTATCCAAGGCAAACAAATATAGTCCCCCAAATGATTCCAGCAAAGCCCAGCACAATATGCTGTCCCAGGATATGGCTGCTTTCTTCAAAATCACAAAAGCAGTAATCAGGCATAGTGCCATATGCCCCATTCCTTTTCTTTGTATGTGTAATGACAGCCCACTGCAAAGCCTCAATCCAGAGTAGGCCTGTGCTGAGGATGACACTAAGCAAGTTGTTTAGAGCTTCTATGTAATTACTCATACTCTAATTCAGCACATGTATTGCTTTTTATTTTGTAGGGAGTTATCAGAAGTTTATGTAAGATGGTGTTGAATAGTGGGTGCGGACAGAGGACACAAGACACATCTGGCAGTGCAACATCTTTATTCAGCCCCACTAACAGCAATGGCTATGCGAGCCGTGGCAGCCCTTTTTAAACCGGAGCTGTCCACGGCTTCAGCCACTGACGCGCGCTTGATTTTCCCACTCTAGCTACTGGCTCCTGATTGGTCTTTGTGCCCGTCTATTCAATACTTAACAGATGATATGTCAGCCCTTTTAGGAGGACCAAAATGAAAAACAGACTCCACACATACAAAAAGCTATTTTTTATTAGAATTTATATTTATTTATTTATTTATTTATTTATTTATTTATTTATTTCAAATAAATTAGAATTTATTTGAATCTTACAATATGAATGTACTGTTTACCTTCCCTCTTTTATCTTTATGAGAATTGGGGCTGGGGGTGAGGCTTCTAAGGTGTTTTTACAAATTATGTTCTTGGTCTGGGTTTAGGTTTGGTTAATCTGATAGTTGCCTTGGGAGTCAATCTTCCCTCTGTCTTTCAAGCCATCCTCTTTATTCACTATACAGTAGCAGCTCATCCAACACACATTTCTAGTACAGGTGACTGGCAGTGTAGTTAGAAGAAGGGAGGGAGGGAGGGAGGGAGGGAGGAAGGAAGGCCTAGAATAGGGTATCCAGCAGAGCATAGTCAGGTTTAGACAAATAAAGTGATGTGCATGTGTCCATGAACTTGAGCCAAACGTTTGGGACAGAGATTAACTTGATACAGATAGTCCTCAATTTACGACTACAACTGAGACTGGCTTCCCCATTGATTTTGCTTGCCGGAAGCCAGCTGGGAAGTGGCATTCAATATGACTCCAGGATGCTGCAACTTCTGCATTCCTAGTACCAAGCACCCAAAGTTTGATCATATGAGCATGGGGATGCTTCATCAGTGGTAAGTGCGAAGACGAGTTGTAAGTCACATTTTTGCGGTGTCATCATAACTTTGAACAGTCAGTAAATGAATGGTTATAAGTAATAGTGCTTTTCTGGGCAACCGTTCCCTTTTGTTCTATGCCAACTTGCCAGCTACCTCATCTGATCTACCATGTAACTCCAATCCAGTCGTGGATGAAATGATCTTCCATGAACATACATTAAAGGGACGTTGTCACTGGATTCATTAGATAATTTTTAAGATGTCTAAGGTACATTAAGATCTTTACATAACCCCATGCTTATTATTATTAAGAATGCAATGTTGATCTAAAAGACAATCTGAAGAAAGGGTGAGTGTCTAATGTGTGAATGTGTAAGAGAATCTGTGTGAGTCATAAGAGATACTGAAATACACATATACACACACAGACACAGACACAGAGCACTGCCAGCAAAACAGTCTCCATAGTACTTAACCTATTTCTATGAGGTCAAAATAAAATGGCAGGCAGCATCATTCAAAAGTAACCCTGACATGGGCTACTATTTAGGAATCAGCTGAAATGCCACATGCAATGCAATTTGAAATTTTCTTGACAAAATAATGTCCCTTCACACCATTAAAGTATTTAAGCCCTTTCGGTATGAATAAAGATCTTGGAGGTAGAGGGAAGGAGATACAAAACTAGTTCAAATATAATTGTGTGCCATGTTATACTGTGATACATTCAAGTACAGCTTCTAATTCAGCATGTTCACTAGCAGTGAATAAGCCAATATGGGACTGTTGAATTTTCTGCTGAATATTTTTTAGTGGGTTGTACTAAAAGCAAGTTCCCGCTGATAAAAACCAATGTGTAGTCTAATCCTTGACGTCTTTGGTGCTCTCACAGAAAGTGTTCTTTACACTCAGCAAGGAATTTCATCCATTGTTCCAGCATGTCATATGCCACTATTAAGAATTATTCTGACCATAATTCATAATATATCAGTTTGTATTGTACTTGATTCTTTGCAGCACCTGAGCTATATTTTTCCATTATTCAGAATAACTGAACAATGATCCAGGATTACACCTTCTAATCTACATTGCAGATGGAATGTTCAAATTAGAATAATTCTTTCAGGTGACTTCCTGATCTTCCTTAGATGTTCATTTATGACTTTATAAAATATAGGCGTTCATTTTAAGCCACAAATAAGAAATACACTTCCTTGGCTTTGAGCCAACAGTCCCAATTTTGGATGTAATAGGAAATTCTGGTTTTCTACACCTTTCCACTCACAATTCATGCTCACATAATCAATAGGTATAGCTCCTTTGTATTTTGATTAATTCTTTATTCAATCAGTTATTTCATTCCAGAAGTAGAGCGGAATGAAGTGGATTTGATTTAAGAAAAGAGTCACAAGTCCACTTATGCGGTGCCGCAGCTCAGCAGTACAGTATCTGGTTTGCATGCTAAGATACTACTCATCATTTTCAGCATGTTTCCCAGCAAGTCAGGCTAGGAAAAGCTCTTTTGGAAACTCTGGGGAGCCACTGCCAGTCAGGGTCACTGATGGCCTGATTTGGTATTAGGCTGCTTTCTAAATTAATGGAATTTGCATGAAGGTCACTAATTGTCAGTCAGCACCAGATGTCATATTATACAGTATGTACCTGTTAACCCAGTTGTGGCGGGGGGGGCGCAGAAGATGGGAATATTAGTTGTGCCCAGAACTATGCATTGCTAGCAAGGGTGTTGTGGGCTGTTGGACCCTGGCCCCTCCAACAGCCAAATCAGAGGAGGAGGCGGTGTGGGAGTCAAGGTCAGCATCAAGGCAACCTGAGAGCTCCGAGGGGGAAGCGGGAGTGGAACTGGCAGAGAGAGAGACAGAGAGACAGAGACAGAGCCTAGGCTGTTCATCAGCCCTCAAATGGAGAGTCAATAGCCCCTAGGTCTGGAGGTGGCTGATGAGGAAGAAGAGGAACAGCTGAGTCCAGTTCCTAACATGCAGATGCGCAGAAGGCAGAGGAGAGAAGAGCAGTGGAAATCCATGGGCTGATCCTGGGGAAGCAAGAGCCACCACTACTAATGAGGCCCCACCCTAGCTCTGGGGATAAAAGGCAGGGGGCGGGGATGAATAGATGTGGCAGACAACTAATCATCTTCTGGCCGGATGGACTTGTTAGCCTGCAGTGAGAATGAAAACGGGCCTTCCGGTCCCACTGGAAGTCAGCAAACAGGTTTTTTCCGGCCTCTGGAGGGCCTCCAGGGGGTGGGGAAGCCCATTTTCACCCTCCCCAGGCTCCTATAAAGCCTCTGGAGCCTGGGGAGGGCAAAAAACATGCCTATCAGGCCCACCGTGTCATCGCGTACCAAAAGCAGGGAGTGTGCAGGGGTTGCACGTGCATGCATGGGGGTGGGGCACATAGAATTATGGGTGTGGGCACAGTTGCTCATGTCCGCCCCACGCTCCCCACGCTTTTGGCATGTGATGGCAAATAGGTTAGCCATCACTGTCCTAGACCCTAAAAGAGCTATTCAATTTCTGGTTAATTTTCCAAAGGGAGAAAAATTATCTCTAATATTAATGATCTGTACCATTTTATATATTTTCTGAATGAATGGGCTAAATGGTCAAAACTGTTCTAGGAAAGTTATAATAATGCCAGTGCTCTAGTGATGTATGATCTGCGCTTTGGTTTTGAAAGGGGTGTCAATGTCACAGCCCGCGGGCTGGATGTGTTATGTGCTGGCCACGCCCACCCCTGGTTTAGCCAAGGGGGAAAAAGTTGTGATATGTCATGTGATGACAATGTGTCATCATGAGTTGGACATCCGTGGTTTAGAACAACTAAAAAGTTCTGATGATGCAGTCATTTGTTTGAGAATGTATTAAAATGCAGTTAACACTGTGGCAGTAACCACATACTGGCCATTGTTTCTATTTTCTGCACAGTATGTCTTATAATAACATTGACAAATCTTGTTCATCTTTCACAGATGCTATTTATTTATTTCTGGTATGTCATTGGAGGAAGAAAAATCTCTGTATGCAAAATGTCCAAGGTTTAATCATGATATATCCAGTGGACTACAAAATTCACTGACTTCCCTGCCTGAAATCAATGACAATCACTGTTCAAATGCTTGACTTGGTTTGCTAAATTTCATTTAAGCACAAATGTGTTCAAGGTCCCAAAGTTAGGAGCCAATTTGCATTTTAAGTAACTGGAAAGTTCAATTATTGATATTGAAATACAGGACAAATATTCTGTCAAGCACCCAAACTGTTTTCTTCATGTTCAGCAGATTATAATGCATTGCTATTTTATAGTATCCACTACCTGGAGAATAGACAGTTTGATAATATTTGTCTAAATAAAGACAGATAGTCCTCAATTTATAGCAATAGAAGTTATACTGTATACCACTTTATAGTGTCTTGCAGCCCTCTCTAAGCGGTTTACAGAGTCAGCATATTTCCACCAACAATCTGGGTCCTCATTTTATTGACCTTGGAAGGATGGAAGGCTGAGTCAACCTTGAGCCAGTGAGAATCGAACTGCTGGCAGCTGGCAGTCAGCAGAAGTAGCCTGCAGTACTGCATTCTAACCACAGTGCCAGCATGGCTCTTATTTAAGATGGTAATAAAATCTGCTCATTAGGGTTGTAGGACATGATGTTTCAAAGCACCCACATGATTGTACAATCTTTTTTGTGGGAGATTTGTTAAGTAAATCTCTGTGGTTGTTAAATGAAGCCATTGTTTGTTCTAGGGTGTTTTTGTCAAAACCCAGAAGTGAATGCTGGTTTTTTGACAAACACCTTGAAAATCATGGTCATGTGACCATTGGGCTGTAAATTTCTGTAAATGTGGGCTGGTTGTTGAGTACTCCAAAATGACCATGGGGGGTGGAGGGAAACTTGGCTGTTGGAACTTTGGAACCAGGTTGTAAGAAGCTTTTGGTGTGTCCAATGTAACTTCAAATGGTTGGCAAGCAACTGGCTGTAAGTTGAGGAATAGCCATATTTCTATTTCTCCAATAAATTACTGATACAAATTAAATACTTTGATTTGTTTCATAATCTGCCTGGCTGATATCACTTTCCGATTGCCTTTAGACTGGTGGAAAGTGTTGAAGAAAAGTTCATGTTGATCTGAGGCGAGAGGAGAGGAAGAAGAAGGAGAAGGAGAAGGAGAAGGAGAAGGAGAAGGAGAAGGAGAAGGAGAAGAGACTAAAATGAACATTCCTAAAGTGAGAACTAGAAAAGTGATACGATGAGGTTGGGGGAGATTTTTGACTTCCATGAAAAACAGAGCTAAAGAAAGACAGGTGCAAAAAACAACAACATTTTGTACATATTTCTATTTCTCCAATACATTACTGATACAAGTTAAATATTTTGATTTGTTTCATGTTTGCCTGCCTGATATCACTTTCCGATTGCCTTTAGACTGGTGGAAAGTGTTGAAGAAAAGTTCATATTGATCTGAGGTGAGAGGAGAGGAAGGAGGAGGAGGAGGAGGAGAAGGAGAAGAGACTAAAATGAACATTCCTAAACTGAGAACTAGAAAAGTGATACGATAAGGTTGGGGGAGATTTTTGACTTCCATGAAAAACAGAGCTAAAGAAAGACAGGTGCAAAAAACAACAACATTAGTACAGGTAAAAGCAATAACTTGATTAAATCTTTTTGGCAATGCCTCCCCTGTTTGCCTAATTAATATAAACGCAGTTGGCTTCTATTTTATTCAAGTTTTCATTGCAATGTGAATATATTCTAATTGCATCTGCTTCTATTTTACAGCCTGTATTTTTAATTTATTCTTTGACTGAAGAGCTGTTGTTAGGAAAATAATTTGTCACTGCTGTGAATTAAATAAACTCAGGTATATACAGACACTTTATTCAAAAACAATAAATTTTATTATGCTGCCCATTCCCTTTCAAAACCATCCATGAGGGGAATAAACTATGTGTTTGCAAAAAGATATCATAACTTTGGATAGATATTTAAAAATATTATTCCTTTTAAATTTTATCTTAAAGAGATAAAATATGAATGTCTGTGTTTTTGGATATCTGTATTAAGTCAAAGTATAATACTGTATATATTTGCACATTTAATATAAATAATTATTTCTCCCTTCTGGATAAGAATGATGTTATGAAATCTCCTTATTTCTATAGTCTGGCAGAGAAATTCAATGTTTATTTTTTTTCCTTCCTAAAACTATTTTTATGATTCAGTTATAAAATATTCATACAATGGTTTTTATGCAGAAGGGCTTTGTTTAGATATGAAAAAAAATATCATCTGGAGTGTTCGAGTTTTGAACAATTGTACACATGAATGGATTATAGGTGCATGTGTCCTTGCTATGGCAAACTTGTACCTGGCTGTATAAAGAGATTTTTTAAAAAAATAACCTTGTTCTTCAATCCTGTCTTGAAGTACTTTTGTCAGTTTTAAATTAATAATCTAAAGCTGTGAAATGATAAAGAAGACAGAATTCAATTTGGTGGACAAACTCGGTATTTCTTTTTTTCTGCCAAAATTATTTTTATGAGTCACTCATAAAATATTCATACAGTGGTTTTTATACAGAAGAACCTCATTTAGATATGAAGAAAAATGTCTTCTCGAGTGCTCAACTTTTGAACCTTTACACCTGAATAGATTATATGTGCAGGTTTGCCTGCTATGGCAAATCTGTATCTGTGTCAGCCTCCGCCTTTACTGCTTTGGCTGCCATAGTAATGGGAGGAGGGAGAGCTAGGTAGCATGGGGGGGGGAAGCGTGCTGGAGGGAAACGAAACCGATAGTTAAGCCACCGGACTGTATCTTTGAAGCTGCTGATGGTCGTGGCATTCCTGATTGATGACGCTGCCAGACGTGTGCTTCCACCTGACCCCTGGGAGACCTTTGGATTGGATGATTTACGGTGGACAGTGGGAGGGGATGCTTTCTATATGCAATTTTCGCGCGTATTGCCTTAGATTCTGCTTTCCTTTGGTTGCGTTCACTTCATCTTCTAGTAAAAGTACTTTTCTCTATAAACAATGGAGTATGGGTCATTCTTTCCTGGACTTTGATGGAAGCACACCTGACAATCTGGTTGTATCACCAAGAGATTTTTCTAAATAACCCCGTTTTCAACCGTGTCATGAAGACTTTTTCCTAGTTTTAAATTAATAATCTAAACCTGTAAAATGGGAAGGAAGGCAGAAAATGGGAAGGAAGATAGAATTCATGCCATCTTTCTAATTACCTGTGATTAATTACAGGTATCTATTCTCTTCTGTTCGTACTTATGACTAATTCAGAAATGTTGCTTGTTCTTCCCAGGACTTTTCTTCCTTTGCATGGCTCAACATTCTCAACAAGACTTGGCCTATTTCTGTGTGCAACAGTTCTTGCTCAGCCATTTACAGTACAACCTCTGGTCACGAATACTCCTGACCACGACCAAATCGGGTTCTGACCAAAAAATGCACCTTTTTTTTCCACGGTTGATTTCCCCTTCCACCCCATTTTTTTTGTAAGTGCCATATTTCCAAAATTAGGTTTGGATCACCAGTTATGGAACAAATTATGGTCGTGATCAGGGGTTCTACTGTATATAGTTGCTCTTTCTGAAAAACCCAAGGTTTGTGTAGACGTCTAGATCAGCAGCCCCCAACTGTTCCAGCTCCAGAGACTAATTTCAGAAGAAAAATTGTCTTCCACAGACCAGAGGTGGGAGGATGGTTTCACACGCGCAACCTAGATCTGCTCATCCACAGATGAAGTTTCATTCGCTCACTCACTGCTTGCGTGGCCCAGTTCCTGATAGGCCATGGACTGGTACTGATCCACGGACCAGAGGTTGGAGACCCCTGATCTAGGTAGAGAACAACAGATGTTTGACATCCTTGCAGAACTGCTGCCTATGTTGCAGCAGAATCTTTATTAGAAACTTATGCCATTTTTGTGTTACTACAAATTGTATACATATTAATAAATACTAATATTTAAAGACATTTCAGCCACAAATTGTGTTGAGCTTCGGTGGCAGCCACATGTCATTGAAAGCAGTGTAATGAAATTATAGCAAACGAGGATTACAGTAAGAGATTTCGCTTCTGTATGCTTCTGTGGAAAGCTCTTGTAGCCCCCTGATTAGGAAGAGGCTACATGGTGCTATATCATACCTGTCCTATCAGAAATTGGAGGGTTGTATGTAAATAGCTGTTCAAAAGAGATGGTTGGCTCAAAGCCAATGTCTTTTTCACTTTAGACTGACTCTTTCATCCATAGTAAAATAATGATACACTCGGTAATAACTGTGACAAATTATGTGCAGACATGTCTAATATTTAACATTGCAATTTTCGCCTTCCATGGCAGGAATTGGAGGTAGGGAAAAATTGAAAATGGTTCAGTTGTTCAGTTTTTGTGCTTCCAAAAAGAACAGGCAAGGTTAAGACGTATAAAGGAGCCAACATTTCCAGCCCATTGCTTAAGTTTTAAATGAAACTACAGGTTGCAACTTACAACAGCAATGGAACCCAATGTTTTTGTTGCTAAGCGAGACACTTATTAAATTAATTTTGCCCAGTTTTATGATCTGTCTTGCTATCGTTGTTAAGTGAATCACTGCAGTTATTAAATTAGTAACACAGTTGTTAAATGAATCTAGCTTTTCCATTGACTTTGCTTCTCAAAAGTCGCAAAAGGTGATCACATGACTCCAGGATAGTGCAACCATCATAAATATGAGTCAGTTGCCAAGCATCTGAATTTTGATCATATGACCATGGGGATGTTGCAACGGTCGTAAGTGTAAAAATGGCAATAAGTCACTTTTTTCGGTGTTGCAATTTCGAATGGTCACTAAATGAACTGTTTTAAGTCAAGGAGTACCTATATACCATTTTCATTGGAAGCTGATTCCAAAATATGGAAATATGGAGCAAGATCCTGATGGTAATACAGGTATCTTTTGACTTAAGTATTGTAATTGCGCCTGCAATTACATTTGTAAGTCCAGGTAGTCATTAAGAGGGTTATTAATGTAATTAAAGAGCCTTGGTGGCGCAGCAGACTAAAGTGCTAATAAGTAGCACCAGCTGCCTGCAATTACTTCAAGTTCAAATCTCACCAGGCTCAAGGTTGACTCAGTCTTCCATCCTTTCAAGGTAGGTAAAATGAGGACCTGGATTGTGGGGGCAATAAGCTGACTTTGTATAAAATAGAACACTGCTTGGGGGGGGCGAAAGCCCTACTAAGCAGGTATATACAAAAGTATGAAGGCTATTGCTTAACACATTGTAAGCCGCCCTGAGTCTCCGGAAAAGGGCGGCATATAAATCGAACCAATAAATAAATAAATAAATAATGTAACTGCACCCAATTTTATTATGTTTTGCACCAGTTGTTAAGTAAACACGGCAGTTGTTAAGCTTAAGTTGGGTCATTAAGCAAACCCATTGTTCGCTATGAAGGGTATTTTGCCAAAAACCAGAAGTCAATCTTGGTTTCTTGCAAAAACATAGTAAATCAGAGTCACATGAGCTGCTGCAAATGGCCAAATGCCCAAAATGTAGTCACGTGACTGGAGGAATGCTGGTTATTATAACTTCAAATCTGGGTTACTTTGAATTCCAGGTCGTAAGTACTTTTTTTTAGGTGGGGGGGGGTGTCTATCATAAATTAAATGATTGCTAAAGCAATAAGTCATAAATCAAGGACTACCTTTATATAAATTTTAATATATCTCTCCTCACTGAGCTGATTTACTACATTATGTACAGTATATATATTGGACATAACTGGATGGCTACTAGGTCAACAGTCCAAATAGCCATGAATATATCTTCATATAGATTAAACTGGCTAATCTCATTATTTGGCTGGAGACATTACTGAATACTGAAATGTTTTCATATCAGTAAATGAGCAGCTTGAAGAACCTCCTGGGTGCCACTTTTTATCCAATTAACTTCTGAAAACATGGCTTTAAGGATACTTTAGAGACACGGCTTCGTCATGCATATCTGAAGGCTTACAACTAAATTTTTCATTGGCTAAAAAAAGGAAAACTAAGCAACCCTACCAAGTTATTTCTGTTGAGTTTCCAAGCTGAACTTTCTAAGAACCTTTGTATTCAGACATCCATGTTATCTTTTGACCCATGGGACATAATGTGGACAGATACTCTGCTACAACCGTTTGTCTGAAATTGTATAGGGTTTACTACTTAAGCAGGGGGTTGGACTAGAAAACCTCCAAGTCTCTTCCAACTCTATTATTCTGTTAAAGCTCTAAGATCTATCTCTGGTTTGCCAAGTTCAATGCCTCTTTCTTCTAATTCATCTTGTGCTTTTTTTCTCCTTGACTGAACCAACTTGCTTGCTGATTTGTAAGCCAGGTGATTCACTACAAACAGAATCTTTTCAGAATGTATCTCTTTATTTAAATTTGGGCGCGCACACACAAATTAAATAATTTGAGAAGAGGATGTGCTTCGAATGGATGGTCACATTTTATGAGAATCTTACTACTCAAGGTGTAAGAACTTAGTCTTGAAGTGGGACTGAGACTGTTGCGTGTAGATTTTCAATTATGGTGTTAAATTCCAAACTTTTGCAAAGCCATGGTTTAGTTAACCATGATTTTAAGTAAACCACAATGTTCAACTTTAGTCAAAGTGAAAACAAAACAACCACTTTATGGTTTAGTGTAATATGCACTTTGCTTTTGTGAACATACCCATGCTAACTCATTATCTGTTTTATAATGTTTTATTAGGTAAATCATAGCTTAGACTACACTTTAAAGCACTTTCATTCACAGAATGGCAGTTCTGAACAAATGGATTTCATATAAGGCATAGCCTGTACATCTGTCATCAAACAAACTCGGAGCTGAAACAATAGTACTCAAGCAGTTACAAAGCTACCAACATTTAAGGGTTACAATCAGAATTCTGAATTAATTATTTGAAATTAATCCAAAAAAAATGAATAATATGGTTTCTTTATTAAGATAGTACAAACACAATATGATTTTAAATAAAGCTGTACAAATATATATACAGTGCCTAAAATCTGCTGTGTCTAAATCAAGAAAACAGTGGATATTAGATATGAACTCACAGCAAAATCTTGGGGAAGGTAATTTTATGCAATAAATAAAATGGGTTACATTTAACAGAACAGTCAAACACAAAGGCTGAAAAGCAGTCCCGGTGAAGAACCTCACTAAAACCAGTTTTATATTGGGACAATTACGGTAAATACCATGATCAATCTTATTAACCTTATTAACTTGACTTGTAATGGAATTGTGTGCATCTGATGCCACAGCTGATGATAATGTTAATAAGTACACTTGAAAGCTGATTTTGCAATAGATTTTTTCTTTAAATGTCATTTATGTCATGCCCAGAATAAATGGCTCCTTTCATTCATGCTAATGTAACTGTGTCTGAAGATGCTAGATAATGATTAATAAGCAGCATATAACATATATGACTCCCCCTTTTTATCCTTGCAGCCGCTCTCAGGTAAGCTGAGACATATTGATTGTCACATGGACATTTATTGAGCTTTAAAAGTTTCTCTGTTTTTTGTCTAGCATTCAGATCAATGCAGCACCCTATTATTTGTTGACTTCTCTACAAACTGAGGTCATGAATAATTTATCAATTTAATTAAAAAGATCATAACTGTTACCTGATTTAAATGACAACAGTATTGAAAACTTCTGTCTAAAGTATTCAGGAGAAATAGCTAATGGAGATTACTTTGATGCTTAACCCAATAGTATTGGTTGGTTCCTATTACAATTAGTTGGTAATAGGTTGGCTCCAATTACAAACAGTGGGCATAATTACAAATAGTAGGTAGAGAGAACTATGTTTAATTGTCATTGATTAATTGATGTCATGAGGACAATCAAATCTATACAATACTTGATTTTGGATATGTACTTTTTCGAATGAAATGAGAGCAAATGTTTTCAATTGGCAGAAGCTAAATCCAATATATATATATATATATATATATATATACACACACATACACCAAAGAGCTGTTTCAAAGGTGGTATTTAATTGAAGGAAATGTGGAACATATTCATCAGTTTTTCCAGTTCTGAACAAGCAAAAACAAATAACAAATCAACCCCCAAAAAACCTATCAAATGTTAATCAGCCATATTATTTCGTCTTGTTCTGCCTACAAATTATTCAGCATATTAAGGAATGTAAACTTTAAAGCATATTTTGTGCTGAATAACTTGTAGTCAGGACATATGAAATAATGTTAATTAGATCTTATAATATGCTGGCTTATTAATGTTTAAGAGGTTGGGGTGTAATTTGTTACCAAGGACCACAAACGAGCGTGGAATTTCAGTTGTAAATTGTTGCAATTTTTAAGCAAGATGCCCACATGACTCAGTAATCACAGTCCTAACTTTCTCAGTTGTGATTGTTAAGCAATTGTGAGAGTTGTTAAGTGGACAGACACCTCCCTGGTTTGTTGGAAATGTAACGCCGCTATGGGAACTTATTTTCATACCTAGTGGACCTGTCCCCGAGCAAAAGAATATTGGGCTAAAATTCAAAAATGGATTTTAGAAATCATAGGATGTAGGATAAAATTGAACCCAGAAACGTTTTTATTAGGCATGAAACCAGAGAACTTAAACAAATCTAATTGGTATCTTGCTCTCCACATCATCATTGCAGCCAGGATCTCGTTTGTGCAAGAATGGAAATCCAAAAATACCCCATTGGAGACTACGTTAACCGCAAAGATCATGGACTGTGC